GCTTTTTGTAATAGTATAAACTGTTCCTAATTCTTTTCTACCAGCAGTAGAGGAGTAGTTAACTAAATTCTGGCATATTTAATTAATGTAAGTATTTTCAATATCATGTTTCAGAAGTTTACTGACATGGAAAATTTTTACAACAAAATGTCAAATGAAAAAGTTGAACACCAAGTTGTAAATGTGCTTTGATCTCAACATTCTGTTAAGAGTGAAGAGAATGAATCTGGTCAATTAATAGAGCAAGTGGCTGGCCTTCATCAAGAGATGAGGCCCAAGCTTAATTTCAGTTGCCACCTTCCAGTCATTTCTAGTGGTTGAAACACCTTATCAATACAGGAACTCCAAAATCACAAGGATAGATAGGTAGGTAGATACACAAGAAAAAAAAATGTAACTTCATATGATTTCAGTGTAACAGTCTATCTTTCTTTGATCATTATTTGAGATAGCTGCTCAATATAGTAATATACGGCAGAAGTAACCTAATGTTTTCTTGGTTTTTAAAGCTGAAACTGCATAGACTCAGACTTTTCCTTTTCTCTGTTTCCTTTAAGCAATGGCTCTCCATTTTTTGTTAATTTGCCACACTCACTTTTTAAGAACTTTGGAGAAAACCAAGCTCACAGTAACTTAGAGGGCTTCTTTCACTTTGTTTTGTAGCAACCAGCTTTTATGAAAGTGGAATATATTTTAACATAAGCTGCAGATGTTGGGTACATGCTTATTTTATATGACCTTACAGGGAGGGACTAGTGCATTATGTTAGGTCATAAACCTTCAGGCCTATGAAGCAACAGGTAGGAAATGGTTCTTCAGTAGAAAACAGATTTGACATCCAACCTAAGGTGAAGTGAATAATGGACATGGCATTTTTATCACAGTTTTTCCAGTCCTAACTCCCCTTGTGCAACACACAACAGACAGTGTTGTGTGTTTGACATATACTCACTTGTTAGAGGACTAATTTACACATACTTGAGTTATATAAATCCTTTAGTCTAGCTTCATCAGATTTCCCTTAAGCTTATCTGAGATTTTAAAAACATTAACTATTTCACTCGACAAAGATTATAGTAAGAAGGAAATACGCTGTTAATCTGGTTATAAATCTGAAACTTTGTAACATCAGTTATTTCATGGATGGTACACTTTGTAAATAGTTGCTGAGGAAATGATTGCATGAGTTTTAAAGCACTATAGTAAATGGGTTTAATTCACTCATTGCAGGACTCATTTGGGAAGGTTTTGAAGTAAATGCCAAATCAATTTATTTCAGAGAAAGAAGGAAGCATCTAGCTCTTAGGACAGTGGGGAAAGCCTTGACATTGGTTTTGAGCTGGTTAACTTGGTATTCTGAATATGCAGAAACATGTCAAAGCTGGCTATGGATTTATATTCTTTTAGTGACAGATTAGAATATTGTTTTAATTTTGGCCACTCTTCCTCCATTGAATGAACATCTAAATATGACTAACTTTCCAATATGATGAGGTCAGTCTGTGTAATATCAGAATCTGTTCACCTTCCCATGGCACATATTTCTTTTTTTTTTTTTTAAGATTTATTTATTTGTGCATACAGAACTGGGGTACAGGCCAGAGGCTCAGGGGCGGCGAGAGGCTTCACCAGAGACAGAGTGGGGAGCAAAACAGGCAGATCAACGAAGTACACTGCTGAGGGGAGCAGCGGGCGGGTCAGGAGAGGTCTGCCACGCCATGTGGTCACCTCCGGGGCAGGAGGGAATTGAACTCATGCGGAAGCGGCTTTAGATTCTCAATGCTGTGCTTTAACCCGCTGCGCCGCCAGGGAGGGCCCCATGGCACATATTTCAACAGTAAGACATTGATGACCAAAGAGAATCTGTTAACATAGGATACCCTATGGTAAAGGTGGAAGCTACAGCTTAAGGGTGGTATTTCAGGCTTTACTAATGTTTGTTTACTAGCAAAGGAATCACATAATGAATTCATAGACCATTAGAATATATTAGGCTTTCTTATGCGCTATGTTTCATCCTGCGTTAACAAAAAGAAAGAAGGAAGACCATCACATTTTCCAACAATATGTGTTTCCCTCTACTTTATTATACAGTATCCCCAACAATTTTTAAAAAGTAGACAGGAGCTGCCCCATACCTTCCTCTCTTTAATTTCCAAAAAGACAATCAACAAATTGGGCAAGGAAGGCACTACATGTGAACAAACCCTTCCATATTGCTGTGCTGCAAAGGAAGTCATCCTATACCCATCTGGGATCTTGTCAGCTAGCAAATAAGCAAACAACTGTCAGAAATATTGATAAGAGAAAAAGCCAAAAAGAAACTTCTTTGTTACACGTCTACATCCTGTATACTTGGAAATACCCAGTATGAACAAGTATCTCCCCCATGTGGCTTCAGGCCACATTTTAACAGGTTAGCTAACACAGAGGACTTTGGCAGAGATGCAGGGAAGGTCAGGGAATGTCAGAGCAGTTGCCCAGGAAGTAGCATTAACCAATATGTGCCTGTGATGTGTTCTGTCTTCTCCATTGAAGAAAGATAAGGAGATTAGGTCTTTCCCATACATACGTTTATGGAAATTTATTTGTAAATATCTTTCAAAAGCAACTTGCATCTAACCTACAAATTCCCTCCCATGTCATTACACTTTTACAAAAAGATATTTTGGGGTAGCAGATATTTGCTCCCCTATGATATTGTACATATAGGTTTTAAGCAATTGACTATTTGGAGGCACGGCCCCCCATTTTTGTCCTCTAAACAACTCTAGTATCAGTAGATTTGGGATAATAATACTGGGTAGAAAAGTGGGTTCGACACAGTTTGGGTCTCATTGGCACTCTCAAATATCACGTGGACACCTGCTTCCTCCACTTATGTTTCTGAGTAGGAAATGCAATCATGCTTAGAATCACCCAAATTACTCTATCACCTCTGAGAGCAATAATACCAATTGTTTGCTCCTTTCTTATAAATTTGATGTTAACTATGTGCCCTGACCTTATGAGAACCAGCTCATTGCTTCTTAAACGTATTTAATGCTATCAATTTTGATTTTAAAAAAATGATTTCAGTCTCTTATTCAAAGAAGATATGAATCCAAGTAAGAAAAGTTGTCCTTATTGCATTTCAAGATCTTAGAATATGAAGAGGTATATTATTCATACATATGTATTAAATATTTCATATATATTATATATGCATATATAAAATATGTTCTCTAAATTATACTTCTTGCCTGCTCTATAAATGTTTATAGTATAAATGCATATTTTACACCTAAAATAGTATTAAATGTAGGATGACAATCATACCAATTTGGGGGGGGGTTGTGTTGGAACATTCCTTTCTGTATGGTAAAATTATTTTCATATCTGATAACTTTAACAATGAATGCTTAAATGCTAACACTGCATTGAACCATTATATTATAGTCTCTCATTTTTAAATGTTTTCCAAAAATTCCCAAACGAATTTTATGCAAACCAGTGACATCTAAGTAATAAGCCCTTTATCTAGGAATGCTATCTTAACATTTTTAGGTGAATTGTGATCCATATCACAAACTAAATAATGGAATTTTAAAATGGTAGCTTTAAAACAACACCCAAATAATCCATCACTCAGATATATCTCTGAATAGAAAAACAATGCTTCCTTCTCACCTCTCAGTGATATTACATTATAAAGTACTTGACTTATGGTTGGTTGTTTAATTGCATTCACCGTGGTGGTAAGGAGGCCAAGGTCATGGAGGCCAGTTATCTTTGCTCAATGTACTGAGCACAGTCTACCAAGAATCAGTCAAGAGTCGCTAGCACAGATGAAAAAAGTGCCATGGTAAACCTTACCCTGCTTGCTCATAGCCCATCCTTCCCGTGGGCCCAGGCTGGATGTGTTCCATCAGCACTACCATTTTAGGAAGGAAATGAGGAGTAGCTTGGGAGGCCCCAACATCTACCTCCGAATAAAGCAGAACTGACATTCAGGCATTAACTTTGTGTTATAATCCACCATCATCGTTGATCTGCTGTGTAACCTTCATCACTAAAGCTTGATAATAGCACAGAATGAACCGGGCTTGCCTCCTGGGCATGTTGTGTGAATTAGCAAATTAACGAGTGTAAAGTGTTAGCATTTATGTAAGTGCTGGTGCTTGTCATTATTTCTGGGGATCAAGTCTCATTCTAAATAGAGAATCTAAGTATGCTATGCTTTTGTCAGAGAGGGATTTTTACCCACATCAATTGCATTTGAGCAGAGCATAAAAACAGGTGATAATAACATAGTAGTAGTGACCATTGCAATGTAGATCTGTAATCCTTTTTCCTATTAGAGCTAAAACTATTTTCAGCAACTTTCAGTGCTTTTAAACTCTGCTTTCCAAGCCTTGTGCCAACAGTTCTCTCCGTAGTGATTATTCTTCCTCTGGTGGGTGAGAGGAATGGGACCTATTCATTATTCATTCCCATAATGACTACATAATGTATTGAATTTGTTTATATCATACAATCAGGCAGCCTCCATAGTTGGCTTGATTGCCACATATTGCAATCACTGTAAAGAATAAAAACTCTTTCCTGTTCTGCCCACTCTGGTGTCCTCTAGAGGTAGGCAAAACATAGATTAAAAACTCAGTGCATTGAAGTGCTTTCCAACAAAAGGCACCGTACACAGCTCCTTTGAATTTAACATCTTTACGAGGGAATTTTGTTGTCGCCTGCTATTTCCAAGCCTGAGAGAATTCTTCCATTTCTTTCATCACTTTGACTTCCCTTACCAAGAAAAGTCATTTATTGCTGATTGCAGAACTCTTGAACTCAGCCTGGCAGCTGCAGGGTGAACTCCTCAGATCTGGGATCCTTGTTACTTATTTACATATTCATTTGAAGTGATTTTTCAGGACTATTTGAAAACCTCTCTAGGCCTGACATCATGTAATAGCCGAGATCTTAAGCTCACCATGTTTTTGGTTCTTTTTCTCTTTGTCTTACAGATAACAGACGAGTACCTCTGGAAAGGTCACGCTCTCGCCACAATGGAGCTATCCCATCTAAGTGATTCCTGATGCCAAAGAATATGAAAATGTTTAAGTAAACAAAATGATACATTTTGAGAGAAACAAAACACACACTCAAGGGATAGAGAAGAAAAATAAGTGCATTTCTGCAACGATCAAACTTAAGCTGGCTGAAATAGTGAGCATTTGTGAACTTATTGCAAGACTCCTGCCACATTTATACCAATATGAACACAATTGTCAGAATTATAAATCATGTGTTCCATTTTAGTGTAAGGATATGTATTATTTGTTATTGTGTGTGACCTGATGTTGATGATGCAAAATGTAAAAGTGGAAAATGCCTGATTCTTGAAGCATTTGCTCTGTCAGAAATTTACAGTGCTATTCAAATTTGCAGCTCACACCCCCTAAAATGGGAGAGAAGAAAAAAATAGAATTATCCCTGTGTACTTCTGATTCCTGCTACATAGACAAAGAACAGGCCAATGGAAACGTGTGTGTTGACGACATGGAGAGGGGCTGCTACTTCCCACTCTCAAGAGAAGTCATTTCACAAACTCAGATCAGTACTGCTTCACCCCCAGCAAGTTATTTAGAATCTTATCTCAAGTGAAAGTCGATGGATTCATCTGCTTTGGCTGAAATTAAACTTATCATTAATCTAGAGTTTCAGCATGATATTGCAGGCACTTATCATCGCTAAAAATAAACCAAAGTTTCACAGAAGCAGTTAGAAAAATGTGATTTAAACTTTATTTAAAGTGGGATTTTCTAATTATGCACAGATGTCTACTTTATACAAAGACTTTATATGACTATTTTTGAGAAAAACCTCATTTCAATATTTATGGTGGGGATGAACCTAAAAGTTCTATTACCTGGATTTAGATTTTTTTAAGGTAAATATTGATAGCTAGTCTTTGTGGTTTATTTCTTCTATCTATTGTTTCTTCCTCCTATGACCCCCTTGAAGTCAGGGAATAGAATTCTAGAAGACCTGAGAGAAAAAGATTTCCCTCTGCAGGAGGCAGCAGAAAACTGTCTGAAAGGTCAATTGCTTTATCTGCCTTTCAACTCCCCTTTCCAATTCTGCTTTGGTGATCTGAAGAAGAAAAAGAAATTACATGTATGTATGTATGTGTATATATGTGTGTATATATCTGCTGATAGAAGAATTCCATTTCCCATTGATGAGGTGAACTTCTCAGTCATCAGTATACTTGCTTACTTTATATTAACAAATTTAAATGATGCTGCCTAAACAACCCTAGGAGGACAAAAAGGCTCTATATTTATCTTAAATAGATGAGGGAGTAAAAGTTACAATTAACTTGTCTTTTATTTTAAAACAGACATTGGTATAGTGTGGTATAACATCTGAAGTGCAATTTTAATACTACTCCACGCAGATGATTGTGATTATTTTAGAACATTACATACATACATATATATACACATATGTGTATATATATACATATATACACACATATGTGTATATGTATATGTGTATATATTTCTTACATAGTAAGTCTCATCTAGTCTTCAAAACACATCAAAGATATCCAGAAAGAAGAAATGACCGACTTGGCAGTCACCACCTAAGATAATGTAAACACATGACCAACAGCTCAGATTTAAACTGCTGCCTTTACTTCCAGTGCATAAATACTCTTAAAAGCTCTGTAGCTGCGACAATAGGGGAATCAAAAAGAATAGCAGCAACTGATATTTTATAATTTCATTCTCTCTTAAGACATACACATATGCACGCACAAATAATTTTTAAGAATGTATCAATTTCACTGTTTTTTAACAACAGCAACAAAAATTTAGGGTCTACTAACTTATGTACATAATGTGTGTCTTTGTGACTTTACAAGGTCTTTTCTGAAATCTTCATGGTATGGCTTCTTTGAGACTTTTGATAGCTTTACAGACTACAGGAAAACTATTTTAAAATATTAACCCTAACTATAATTTAGGAGCATTTGCCAGCCATGCCACAGTATCAAACTGGTCCAGGTGGAAATACTGATGTATCTCCCTTCTCCAGATGTGAACTTGCCTTATATTTTTAGTTTTTGAAAAAAGTAAGTATTATTTGATAAATTATATATTTGTATTTAGAATAATCTCACATGCTTTTCACACATATGACACCTTCAGGGCATTTCATGAAGTTCCAATAATTGAGTAAAGGTTCTCTTCCCACATTTATAATGGTCCTGCTCTAGCCATTTGCAATTGTATTTTAGGTTGAGAAGTATCACTAAAAAGAAGTACACAGTGACATTTTTAGTATAGAACCAAATTATATTAAAAATGTTTTTCAGGTATATTACTGCCACATGTGACAAGCACCAAGTATACAGAAATTCTTCAGAATGTATGTTTTGTTATTGTTACCATGGAAATAGTTTACTAGTTGTATTAGTTTTAAATTAATTTCCTTTGGCTGTTATAACATTATCACAAACTTGGTGGCTTAACACAGCAGAAATTTATTTTCTCACACACAGCATGGTCGCCAAGTATCTGAAACCAGGGCCTATGTTCCCACCCCTGCCCAGCCCTCACGACTCCAGGCCTCCTTCCTCTGCAGAATCTAGTCAAAAACCTGGTCTCATCCAGCTTCTGGTAGCCATTGGCATCCATGGGTTATGGCCATCTCTCCCTCTGTTCTGTCTTGCTCGCTGTGTATCTAATCTCCCTCTACTTCTCTAAGACCCTTTTCCAAATAAGGTAATATCTCTAGGTTCAGAGAGATTAGGATGTGGATTGTAGCTTTTTGGAGATGACCCTTAGCTGACTGCAGTTTACCCTGCGCTTCCCCCCAAATTTATCATCTATGTCCCATGTATTTTCACCCCATCTCAACTTCCCAGAAGTCTCAACCCGTTCCAACATCAACTAAGTTCAAAATCTCATGCAGACACCATTCTTTCAAAAGTCTATGATCTCACCATCTATAACTGAAGCTCTTGAAGCAAAATTCCTCTCCATCTGCGAATCAGTAAAATAAGCTATCTACTTCCATACACAGTGGTGGGACAGGCACAGCACAATAACGATCAACTCCAGAAGAGAGAATTCTGATTCCAAAAGGGGGGAAGTGCAAAGGAGTCACCTGTCCTGATGGTTTTCAAAATCAGCCAGGCAAAATCATTTTAAGTTTCAAGAGCTGACAGTAATGCCCCTTGTCCCAGGGCTCTACCCTTGAGGCCTGCCACTCTGCCTTCTTGGCCTATGGATCAAGGCTCTGCCTCTGTGGCCTGAAGGTGATACTTTATACTGCAGGGCAGCACGTTTGCTGCTTTATCAGCCTGTTTCCTGTCTGTAAAATTTTGACGGTCTGATGACCCTCTCTTTTTGTCCTGTTTGTATCCTCTACAGCCCAAGTTGCAAATGTTTCTGTTGGTAAAACATTCTCAAAATTTTTCCAGTCCTCTCATGTATGTCACATTGATTCAACTGACACACAAGTCCTCATAGAACTTTACAAGATGACCCCATCTCCATCCCTGGCTTCTGATAAGCTAGTTGAGAGGATACTTGAATCAATGCTTAATCTCTTCACCAGTAGAAAAGGTAGTCCGGCCACACCCTTGTCTTTATAACCAGAACACAGGAGCCTAAAAAGGAATCTCCTAATGTTACCATTTTGCAGTTTCAGTAGGTGCAACAAACATATCCTGAGTCATTAAGTACTGGTTCCTTCAACGACATGATCACATTTCTTATAGTTTCTAATAAAAGGTCCCTAGTTCCTTCTGAGCTCTCACCAAAAGAAGCTTTAAAATTCATATTTCTCGCAACAATTTATTTAAGGCAAACTTTGCTGCTTCTGTCATAAACACCAACATTTGTCTAGACTCCACCCACTATCCAATTCCATAGGTGTTTCTACATTTTCCAGTAGCCATTACAGCAGAACCTTGCTCCCTGCTACCAAAATCTGTATTAAATTCCTGTGGCTGCTGTAACAAATTACACCAAATGTTATCACTTAAGGCAATAGAAATTCATTATCTTACTGTTTTAGAGTCCAAGACTGCTAAACTGAGGTGTTGGTGGGGGGCATCACACCCTCTGCAGGCTCTAGGTGAAAGTCCATTCTTTTCTTTCCTCTTCTAGCTTCTTGTGACTGTCATCTCTCATTCCTGACTTATAGCCAAATTGCCTTCCATTTTGTTTATCTAATCTACTTCTGCCTTTCTTAATAAAGATAGTTGTGATCGCACTTTGGACCCACCCAAGTTATACATGGTAATCTCATCTCAATATCCTTAACTTAATTACCTCTGTGAGACCTGTTTTCCAGATGAGGTAAATTCACAGGTTCCAGCATGATAACATGTACATATGTTTGAGAAGCCACCATTCAGCTCACTCCACAACTCCCTGAGCATAAATGTACTTTTTCACACTCTTTAAAATGCATCTGTGGTGCTCAAGCCAAATTCAAGGATGTCTCTAAAAGCTATTGTGTGCACAAGTTACTGCATGCTTTGATGTAAAATGGCTTAACAGACTATTCTAGAGATCAGTTGATACTTTTGCTACTATGGCCACTTAGCTTAACCGAAATAATTGGTTCCAACTTTGAGCTCTGTTATATCTCTTCAGCCCCTTTTGTGGAGTCTTTGACCAAATGTCTTCTGTGATTCATAATGCAGGCATAAAACTACCTCTGATACAGAAGGGTTCTTTGTAAGCTCATTTTAGATCTGGTGAATCCCTCAATTGAAAAGAGAGGTGACAGCAAAGCCTGCTTTCAATGAGTATCAAGGAAGATTGTGCCCATACCAAGATACTCAGAAGAAGAATTTCAGTAGCAGTACAACTGTGGATTCATGCTCTCATTTTGCCTTGGAATGAACACCTACCTATTCACAGGACCAAGAATGACTTGCAATCTATGTGTAACGCATACTTACTTACTCAATAAAGCTATCCATAAATATTGTGCTGCCTGTGGTAATTAATATTAATAATAACTGAAAAAGCACTGACTAAGGAACCAAAACAATATATCACAATATTCTAGAAGCTTCAACTGAACAGAATGACAATAGTGTATTTTTAAGGACGTGGTCTGGTGAAAATCATGACATGTTTTCAAAGCTACACATACCTATGAGAATCATAAGATGTTTTTAAGTATCCTTTTATATTGCTTGCTGGAGTAGTGAAGAGATCTTTACATAACATCAAAGTCCAGAAAAGTCAGAAGGGTGATTTATATCCCCAGAGAAACTGTTTCTACAGTTGGTCTTGATTACAGAATGTAAGCAAATAGCTTTCAAATGCTCAGATGGGTAAAAATATGGAATAAATAATAAAGGCTTGTAGACTAGAGTCCTCTCTGGAGGGCTTTCAAAAGAAACTCTCATCATAGGTGGGCTGACTTGAAGATAGAGGGTTGGACAGAGTAAGAGTCAGGTCTATAAATGATATGATCCAAAGTACCTGCAAGGCCATCATTTGCCTTGGAATGGGTCATTCCACGAATCAAATACATTGGCTTGTTCTCTGCCAGGGAGAGACCGAGTAGGCAAATTTCTTAGTGGGACTTTGAAAAACTTCGTATCCATGAACAGGGGCAATTGAGCTTAGTGCCAGGAGTAAAAAGAAAAGTGAGGCTATGCCAATTAATATATGTGTAATGCATGTAACATGCTACAGTTTGATTTATAATATTGATAAGTAGAAAACTATAGCCAAATATCCCATTTACTGCTGAATTTATTTCCATGTCTAGGGTTCCAATAGTCACAAATAAAATATGGCTACCATTAGTATCTTTTGCAGGGAAAAACAACTGACAAAATCATGAATTATGTAAATCATGACTTTGTTCCTAAGACTTGCAGATTAGTCAGAGTTCAATCTTTATCATGATGGTCTTTATTTTAGTAATAGGAATTCAGTCAATATTGTCAACTATATTTTGGCTAATGGAGGTCCAGGTGATAGTTTCACCTTCTGATATTTATGAGAAAAGCACACAACCTAGAGCATTTACCCTTATCCTTAATAATCTGTTACTATTACTAGAGATAATAACAAGCCGACGACGTCTCTACTTTGCTAAAGCCTGTCTCCGCATCCACTCAGAGTGGCTACTCTAAGCATTGTGTGCCCATCCAATGAACGTTGCTTTTCTGAAGGTGATTATGAATTACACATAACTTCTGCCTTCAGGATCTCACTGTGTAGTGCAAGACAGACTGTGAACAAACAATTGTAATGCAAGGTGGAAAAGAAAATGATCGTTGTTATAAGAATCATATTGGAGCCCTCCCTGGTGGTGCAGTGGGTTAAATAAAGCACAGCACTATGATGCTAGCTGTAGCCACTTCAGCATGAATTCAATCCCAGGCCAGGGAGCTGACCCACATGGCATGGCAGTCTTCTCCTGTCTCCCACTGCTCCCCTCAGCCGTGTACTTCATCGATCTGCCTGTTCTGCCCCCTACACTGTCTCTGGTGAATCTTCTCACTGCCCCTGCACCTATGGCCTGTACTCCAGTTCTGTATGCATAAATAAATCATAATTTAAAAAAAAGGAATCATACAGATAAGCCTGGGTGTCTCAGGGGAAAAAAAATAACAGTTTAAGGGGAAGGAGTTAAAATGGTTGTCAAAAAGGGAAGCAGGTATCTATGTATACTTTTGGGAGTGGCTGGCATTTGAACTGACCTTTAAAAGATAAATAGATTTGGACAAGTGAAGATTTTGTTCATTCAGCAAATAGCTAATTAGCACCTACTGTGTACCAACCACAAAGCTACATTCTGAGAATATGGCAGTGAGTCAACTGTGGTTCCTGTTATCTTGAAGGGTGCGCGCATCTTTGAGGAGGGTGCAAAGGCTCAAGCGGAAGTTCAAATTTTGAACTTGGTGCATATACAGGGAATATTGCACAATTCAGTCTGACTATAGTGTAAATTTCACAAAAGCTATCAGTGGTTTTGGCTTGAGTTTATAGATATTATAGGTGGTGTAGATTTGGGGGTGGGAATTTTGAGGAAACAAATGATATATAACCAAGAACGTGATGCTGAAAAGTATAAGATAGAGGAGGGAGAGACACAAAAGGCCAACTTGTCGTGGAGCTACTGAATAATCCTTTTGATAAGTAGCAAGGGCCTAAATTAGGCTAGCACCAGTAGGATAGCTCCAAGCGGCATCTGAAGAACTGGTAATCAAGTGAATGTTGGGATAAAAGGAAAGGCAGAATTCAAGTCTGGCATCAAGGTTTCAGACCTAAGTGGCTGATGGACTCGTTTCAACTGAAAAGTAAGCACAGGAAGAAGAGCTCACCTTGCTGTGTTAGGGTGGTGCTGCACACGCAGCTGCAGTTCTCACACTTGGGACCATCCTCATCTCTGCATTGCTGAATAGCTCACACAAGGCCAAGTGCAAATAGCATCAAATCGTAAAGACAAAGCAGACAGAAGAACATGGTTCTGCACAGGAATGTATACAGCAATACTGTAGTGGTTATGGCGATAAAAGCAAGGGGAAATTCTCTAGGTTGTATTCTTTTCCCTTCCTCTTCCCCATTCTTTTTTCCCTTTAATAACACAGAAAGCCAAAACATTAGCTTGTTCAAAGAAATGAAAAACTAAGACTAAGCAGACATTAAAATATATTGATTCAGCACTTAAATACTTCATAGCTAGAACTTCTTAAGTGTCTGGGTAATCTGTTAAGTTTTCAAAAAGAACAGCAAATTCTTTCACCAATTTTGCATAGATCTCTGAGACTTTCAAACTGTGCCCACGACTATTCCCTTTTTGCTAAGATCCTTTCTATTCAAAGAACCACAAGGCTTCCCTCCTAAATACGTTCATCTGTTGGAGACATGTGACACTGAATGGTTTGATTTTAAGTAATATTCTTGTGATTTGGAAGGGAACCTGATTTATGAATCTGTTTCACAGCTTGTCTTCCCAAATACCTTGTGTCATCCCTCCATTTTCCTATAAAAATCTAAATATTAAAGTGGGAATTAGATTGAAAGTATGAGATACTGTGAATTATCTCTGAATACTTCTTGAAACCTATGACATATAACAACATAGTAACCTAGACTTTCTGCCAAAAATCAAGTAATGAAGTGTTTCACCTGCCTGAACAACTTGTAGCATTTACTTGAGGGAGGGAGGGAACAAAAGTGAAAGGGTTCATGATTACAGTCCCTTAGCAAAATTCAGTCAAATGATGGCAATGAAAGCATCCTTCAGATTATCAGTGACCCTTCGACTCTGCTGTGACCTCATGTGGTATAGGGCTTAGTGTGTGTGAAAGAATGTTCACCTTTCACACCCATTATTCCATCATCTCATCTCAAGTCTCCAGGCATTCTCGAGTTTCTACCATCCTGTTAAATAAACAACAGCAGCAATCGCTCTTCTTCAAGGCTAACGGTGACCCCTAATTGCCAAATTTGATGAATTCTTCTTAGTCCTCATCCTGTTTCTTTTCTCCCACTCTCCCATAAAGCACACCTAATTCTGTTTTCTCCCAACACTCAGTGCCCTTTATTAGTATTTGCATTCCCATGAACCCTCAGATAGGTAGACTCTCTGGTATTTTCATTTGCATTTTCCCCACTGCCAGAGTTGTCACAGCCATTCCAAGATTTTGAAAATTTCCTCCCAGCTGATGACTCTCAGATGTCTCCTGAACCCAAGAACTATCTTCACTCTATAAAAAATAGCTCACACAGTAGATCTCAACCAAATCCATCCTTCCCCAGTAAATGTATCCTGCCTTAAGTTGCCTGTCTCATTACTGCCACGACCACATTCCTCTCTTTAATGCTACAGCTGGTCACAGAATCTGACCTCCCAGTTCTGCAACCCATCTTTCACAAAGCTAGAGAGTGCTTCCTAAAATGCATTTTCAGTCAAGTTCAATTTTTTTTATTTTTCTGATTCAACAAAATGAATATGGTCTTCCAAGGGCCTAAGAACAGAATCAAGCAAAACTAATTTCTAAGCGCCTCCTACTCCATATCTGTCCAGCTGTGCTGGATTTCTTAGTGGAGCTTGCCACTGATTAACAGACACGGTGATGCACCCAAATGGCCAAGAATGCATAGCCCATCATGCCACTGATGCCCGTGTAGTTTACTCTGGTGTGACCTCACTATACAACTTCACGCTTTTCTACGATTAATTCTTCAAGGACCAGTACCAACTTTCTAAAGTCCTTCTTAATTCTCTGTCCCTCATTAAAGAAAACTGGTATCTATGCTCCCACAGCAATTTGTTCATACTCTTCTTACGGCCCTTATTTCATCCTGCCTTCTCCTAAAGTTAGTTGTCAGTGTCCTTGACGAAAGTGTAAGTTTCTTGATGGCAATGACTGTCTCATTCATCTCGGGGCCTTTACACAAAGCAATTGCTCAATGAATTAATGTGTAGTGTCAACTCTCAGTGAATTAAACAAATGAAAAGGAATGTTTGGTACAGGTAATGGAAAATCATGGCTAATTTCCTCATCCAGTTGAGAACATAGCCTTCACCATTGTCCTGGGAAATGTGGGCCTGCCTAAGGTCAGTGTTGAGGACAAACTGGATGACTGGAAGTGGATTTCAGAGGAGTAATTTCAGGAGCTGATGACTGATTGAAGAGAAGGAGGGAGCTTTTTCCTCCAAGGTCAAGCTTTTAACAAGTTTCTACAATGTACACTGAGGGATTTGGCTGTACTCCAATTATGCTAATGTGTTTTATATATGGGCCTCCAGCATCCAGAAACCACCTCCCTAAACAATTTAATAAGTGTAAATATCAAGGTAGAGTTGTAAATGTAGAACTTATTTGTAATGTACCAACCTTGTTATTATCAAATGTCATGGGGTATAAGTCACTGCAATTATGCTGCCTGCTTTTTATTACATTTATTTTACTTTTAAAAGTGCAATGTATCCCCATCA